CTTGGAGATCGACTCCGCGCCAAATTACCTGGACCCGATGGGCCTTCACTAGATCTCCGAGGCCGTAGTAAAGAGGGCGCCATGTCTGCTTCTGGTTTGGAGGGTTCGTGGCTGCAAAAGGCCCCGAGGCTCTGGTCCGCAGTAGTTCGATCTGCAGGGGATTTCTCGACTCTTCTTTTGGTATTGTCCGCAAATTGTCGCAGTATTACTTGAGTGACTGCCTCTAGTTGGGGAACCACTAATTCCTTGATATTATAATCTATCGATCCTAGTTCGTTCCAGGTTTTTCTTGGCCTAGCCGACGACGTTCACTGGTTGGCCATATGCTGTCTCGAGGGAACGCGTGTACGTCTGGTGTGTACGTCTGGTACGTCTGCTGAGCTGGTGGTGTTGCTAGTGTCCCTATAGATCAATCTTGTTGAGATTGATGGTAAATGCAGAGTCCACTAACGCTCTCACTGGAGCTCTTCGACACGAAACTCTGCTATCAGTCCGATAGGTGTCTCGTGTACCTGGCATACAACAAAGAATTCCATACAACAAAGAAGGAGCTCTCCGTCTGGCACTGGGTATTGGCATCTGTTTAGGGTCCGTCGTAGGGAAAGCCGATATTAGGGGGAAGTCTTACCCCCTCTCCGTTGCTTTGTAAAATCGGCCGAGATGAAAACTCCAAGATATCTTCTTAATGTTTCCGTCCTCGTTATTTTAAGTGGTCCACGGTTTTCTGGAGGCATTCCTTTGCGAAATAAACGGGCTGACCGCATCTACAGCAGTTTCCGCTGGGAACCTGGTTTTTCAATCTGTAGCGTCCGACTCCCTTGTTCTGGTGGTTCCGACGATCCTTAGCAGGTTCAGGGTCAAACAACTGCAGAAGTCGTTGGGCCTTGTCAGCTCGGGTTGATTCTCCGGTCTCCAGGTGGCACAGCAATAATAGAATTGACAAACCTACCCATCATCTGGGTCAAATTCTGCAACTGTGCCAGAAGGTTAATTTTCACACTCACCATTTGGTTGCTTCTCGGGTCAGTACCCAATGGTTGCCGCAGGCTATAGTCAATACCGATGCAGCTCGGACGTTCTGCCCCTTTCCGCTGAGATTTTTCTCAGTCACTGGCACAGGAACTCCCTCCCTCAATCTCACAAGCTGCTGCTACCTCTTTTTCCGAGCCCTGGACCTCTTATTCACTAGTTCCAGAGCCTGAAATGCGAGCCACTGCCTGGTCCATGCCTCTAGGCCTCTAGCTGTTCTCGAAGGAGGAGGTCCTGCAGCTGCACGTGATACAGTCCGCCAATGAATCGATCGCAAATCATGTCGTCTCTAGCCTGGGCGCCAAAATCCGCGTTTGCCACATTTGCAAGAGAACTGAACGACTTGAGAACTTTCCTAGTCCTTCTTTAACGCTTTGCATCAGGTTTTTAACTCTGCTCTGGCACCTGCCTGTCTCTCTAGAGCGGGTTCAAGCAAACCATTGACTTCCTGAAATCGGCCGCCATGCTCAAATCTTCGTCGAGGGTTCAGCCCGCTAAGCATGTTGGTAGCACCAGCCTAGCCTGGCTATCATCATCCCAGTTGGCTTCGTATCCAAGCGAAGTGTTTTCTCCAACCCGACCAATTCTGGTAATTGTTGAAAGACGACCGGCCGGGTCGGATCGCTCCGAATCCAAAAAACTCTTGCTGCCTGTCATGGGCATTTGCCAGTGTCTCGCACCCTCTGCTTCATTCATCTTCCGTCCAAAGTGTTCCTAAAAACCAAAGTATTGCCCAAGATTCAGTACCTACTACAGTCTGAGATTCAGTACTAACTACAATCCCGAAATAGCTGAGTTGGTTGCAACTATTCTGTACGGTAATAGGTTACTTGCGCTTTTTGTATACTGCGCTTAGGGCGCTCTCGCCGGCTCGATGCGATCGCGAGAATTTCCAATTTAATTTGAAATCAGAAAATTTTAGTCCAAAACAGAAAATTTTAAGTCGCTAGAAAAATTTAATCAAAGGAACGGATGCGCAATTTATCAGCAGCACAATTGCCTAGTTGCAACTTTATTCCACCTTTTTCAACTAAACGAATTTTTTCTAGAGAATCCTAATTTACAAATTACACAAAGTAATTCCATCCAACTAATCAACTCGACTTGCTGAGCTTACTACTGTCTCTTCGAATCACTGTACCTTTGAGGGTATCATGCTGACCAGAATGATAATTTACTTGATTTCGCAAACTTCAGGAATCACTGTTATCAACTCTGATGAGAACCAACCATCTACTGCTTTTGTATTTATTCGTCTCTGTAATTGTTCTCTAACTGTCGAGAATCAGTTATATTATAAATAGATAAAAGTACAATTGGTATTATTGCATAAATTTGGGCTATTGGTCCTCGAAATGTTTTTCTGTTTGACTTTATGTTATAGTTAGAGTTGTGCTCGTCCCAACAAGTCTTTAATTTTACATTGGTACCCGTTGGAACAAGTCATCCAATGTTTCAGTTTAATTAATCCACTAACACTGCTGCCTATCTGGGATACGATAGAACCTTTTCAAGAGTAGCTAGCTCATTCCAAGCATTTAAAAATCTTATTTAATCTCTTTTCTAATCTCGAAATCAAATTTTGCCAAAAAGCCACCTCTGGAGAAATAAGTAAACATCACATCCATTCATGTTACCCAATCAAATCCATATAAACGCCATATATCTTTCAGCATCTGCTTCTGTTCCCAATAGGCGAAATTTCTCCCCCGAAGTGATCTGAGGGATTCTCATTTCCAAACTGTTGGGTCTGGGGAACACTCCAGTTTTCGGTGTTAAATCTGGGTCTTTCTACAAGAATTTGGTTCTAAACGCTTAAAAATCAGCTAAGGGTCACCACAGTTTTCTGTTTTTGGATTTAAAATACCAAGGAGGTCCTAGTTCCAAGTTTCAATATTATCGTGTTCATATTTCACAAGTTATTCCATTTCTAAGGTCCCTCATCACTTTTTCCAGGACAAGACCATTAACATCAGATCGCCGGAGGGGTTTCATTCGCTAGTATGCGTTTTTCGGCGTTGGTGCTTTATGTCGATTGCCGCTGAAAAATCATCAAACTCCCGCTCAAAGTTTTGCGTAAATTGTTTACTTTGCGTTAAATGGATGTTTTTCAAAGTGCTAATAACTTCCGGTCGGATAGACGGAGTTGGCTCAAAAAAATGACGTCGCTTGTTACTACCTGTCAGATCCAAAAATATCGACTCCTTGTATTGAGTGGGGCCGAGAAACGAGTTCGGGAACTCAAATTTGCTTAGGGCATAACACCAGAGGTCGGGGTCCGTCGGATCTGGGTTTCCAAACTCGGTTAACTAGGTCTCTAATAAACTTACTTTTGCTCCCGTTCCCACTGCTTTTTATCATTATGTAAAAGAGCTATTTGAATGCCCGGGTCAACTATTTTCTAGTAACCGTCTTGTGAGTTTCATAAGATTAGCTTTCTGAGTTTTCTTTGGGGTGGGTTGCCATATCGGTACCGTAGTATAATTTTCGCCAGATGAGATGACTTTTTTCAAGATCCAAACAACTTCAGAATTGGCAATTTGTTTGCTTTTTCACTTAAAATTTTGATTAATCAATACCGAGCTACGTACTATTCATTAGCTGACGTATTATAGTAGGTTTACCTAACATGTTGAATTTTAAGTCCTACCAGCAATTTTAAGTCCTACCAAGTCTGATTCCGCGAGTGAGTCGATGTCCTCCTTAGCCTGACTAGTGCGCAGCGGAAAGTGTTTAGGAGTTAGGCTTCCCCTTATTTGTTTAAGTTGCAGAACATGTACCAGAATGGAAAAATTGTTCCGCACGAGAATACAATCAACCCCATTCAATGGATATTGAACGAGAACAGTTTTGACTAGGCAGGGGTTGCAGCCAGTTAAAGCATGAGGTCCGGTCTAGATATTTTGCAGAGTCTCTCCGTGAACATTGCAAGAGTTTGTACCTCAGTTGTAAGGAGTGCGAAAAGCGACAGGCTGTTTCGTGAGGTGTAACCCATGCGAGCGTCTTGGTGTAACCATGGGCAAAACCCATGCGAGCGTCTTGGTGTAACCATGGGCCAAACCCCTGTCTCTACTGAGGACTGGTATCCGATAAGTGTGATTACGCACAAAAAAATCCTTAATGAGTGCGCCGGTCCCAAGTCGAATCGTTTTCTGGACTGCTTACATTGCCTAGTTATCGGGAAATTCGTCGTTCGTACGCAGCTCCAAAAACACTTAGGTTAATGAAGCGAAAACAACTGTCCCGGTCCCAATCCTTTTTGACCCTAACTTATCATTATTGGATCGAGGATTTCTAGAGTCGGATATAAAAAGTTTGGCTGATATCTTCGGGGTTCTTACCTACGAATACCGCGACAACCAAGAGAGTCCCACTGGAATTATATCGAGGGGCATAAACACGGACCGGATGGACTGAAAGCGGTCTATATGTATTAACGAGTTCAGACCGAGAGGGAGGGGTTCAGCAAGGGAAGTGACACTTCGCGCTAGTTACAGGGATGCATCCACTTATTTTTTATGTGAGCTTAGAATTAACAATTCAACAGATTCTCAACTGAATTATCATGGAATCAACTTTGAAGACTGTGACTTTTGATGCTGCCACCAGTTAGCCGGTCTATGCTTGTACTTTTTCTTGTGCAATCTTATGTTTCTATCGGACTCCCTGACAGGGGGAAGGTTTTTCCGGTACCCTTCCCCTTTGGTTGAAACCCTTGTCATCTTTGTAACCGCGACATAATTCTGACATTATTTTTGCATAACTGCGAAGTATTATTTGTTGGTTTATATAGTTATGGTAACTGATTTGGCTTAGGCTGGGTTAATTTATATAATACGAAAGCTGTCATTTGCAGAAGTTGGAAGCGAAAACTTTTAAAGTCAAAGCGATTCCTCACTCTCCCAGAGGCGAGTCCAAACTTTTCGTACCACCAAAAACGTTTTTTGAGGTCATTTTGTTCACTTTTTCAGGGAAGTTGATCGGTTTGAGTGAGCAGCAGTTGGTGGATTGTGATCACACAGATGGAGGCTGTAATGGGGGAGACATGGGAACTGCTCTGACTTGGCTGGCCAGGAATGGGGGATCTATTGCAGAGGCAGACTACAGATATGTGTCAGGTAAATTATAATGCAACATAATTATATATAATCGTTTTTAAGAAGGCAAGAATTTGTTTATTAGGGTTTCTGCTATCAAGCCTGTCAAAAAATTACCTGTCTCTGTAATTTCTAATATTTATTTATATTTTATCTTGTTTAAAAACCCAATCTCGAAAACCACAAACAAAGTCCAGTTAGCTCAGTATCAAGTTAGGGTTGTTTTTGTTGAGATTTAATTGGGCATTAATTTCTGGTTGATATAAATTCATAAGGAACCATCGGTGACTTGCTGGTAGAATTAAGGTCAATAAGAATGTTTTTTTTTCGATTTGATCCCAAATTGGTTTTGGTAACTTTGGAGTAGACAAAATTATAAAAGTAAAAGTCTTTGTCTTCCGCGTTTTCTTGACAATTAAAATATCACAAACAATTTTTTTTTTTCAAAATTCAGCTCAAGACTTGACTGATTTTCAGATGATAAAAATTTTGTTTAAGAATTGTATGTTAAAAGGTCAAACCAGTATATGAAAATGAATGATACGCACGTTTCTGGTATAGACGTCAACAAGAGGTCATATCAACTGACAACTCTAGTCTGATTAGCTCGTAAAAATCCGAACAAAAGTTCCAACTTGTTTCCAGGAATCACCGAGCGCCGTGGCACTTGCAAGGATGAAGGCAAGGAGAAAGTTGTGAAGGTCTCCCACCACGTTCAACTGCCCCGAGGAAACGAGAATCTACTCAAGGAATGAAGACGCGTCTTTTGTTGTTTTTTCATTTAAATTACAAAAAAAACTTGAAAAGTATAGGTTAAAAATTGAGACGAAAATGCTACAACAACATGATTTTTTCGATCTATCATTTTTAGTGTTTTCTTGAACTAAAATGTTTGATTTCTAATAAATTATGTTTGTTTGGTTTTTTCAAAAAAAACTTACATGTCACCGTAGATGACGACGTACAAAACATTAGAGTTCAATAAGGCAAACTTTTTTTGACATTATTCGAAGATGCTTCCTTTATGAAAAAAATATGGAACCATCTACGGAAAATGCATTAGTCCAACGGTTTCATACGTGGGCAATTTTCTGTGCCTTCTATGGAACCATAACCAGGGTTTTGTTTTGAATTGTGGGTTGTTTGAGATAACACCAAAAGAGGTTTAAAAAATACAACGCAATTAGATGTAAAGTGTGCAATGTATATTTTTTGTTGTTGCTTAAGTTTTTTGGCGCTTTTACTTCAAGTTTTTTCTCTTCAATTTTTCTCTACTGCTGCTTAACTTCATCTTCATTCTTTTGCTTCAACTTTAATTACTGCTGCATAACTTAATCTTTAATTTTTTTTTCTAATTATTTAGAAAAAAAGGTAAATAACAAAAGAAGCGTTAGGAAACTGTGGCGACTGTTGGACCCTGCTCGATTGCCATCGACGCCAGTCACTCTAGCTTCCAACTGTACAAGGACGGAATATACGACCCCGCTGCATGCAGTCAATACTCACTCGATCACGCTGTTCTAGTAGTCGGCTACGGAGGCTCCGGCAATGAAGGTGAATTATTAAAATATGGTGGCATTAAATTAAAGGTTCTTTGATAGACAATATTACAAAAAGCAAGATGCTTCATTGTGGACCATTGTTAGAACGACAAAATAACTATCATTTTTCTTGAGCCGTAGACTTGATTCGGGTAATTCGTCCTTTTTGACTTTTAGTTTTCCTTTTTCGAATATTACCAACAATAAGATTCCATTTATTTGATCTGTCAAAAAACAAAAAAGCTACAATTTCGAGATATTTTGAAGAACACGGACCTCAATTTTAATCACATGGTTTTTATCTTTAAAAAAAAAACGAACACAACCACTACATTACAGATCCAAAAAATTCACTTGTGCCACCTATTGTAATAATTCACCAAAAATAAACAGAATTTTGGTGGGTCAAAAACAGCTGGGGTAAAAGTTGGGGGCTGAGTGGCTACATCAAGATGGCGAGAAACAAGAACAACAAATGTGGGGTGGCCAGTGAAGCTATTTACCCCGTTGTTGCCTAAACAGGGACAGATTCAAACAGTATTGGAATTCAGAGAGTTAAGAAGCAGAGATGATAAACACTTTACTGATTGATTGAAATCGAAATATTACCGAAAATTTTAGTGCGAAGTGATGCTCATAAAAAAATAATAAAGAATTCAAAATAAAGTTTATATGTTGTTAAAGCGACGAAAATTATTTGAATTTAAATTTGATTTTTTTGTGTGATTAAACTTAAATATTTTTACGTGCATCGAACTCACGGTACGTAAGGCCCTTCGAGGAGTCCGATCACAGAAGATTTCAACAAAAATAATTGGTGAGAAAACGCAGCGCAATATCATTTCTTATCGATTGCTAGTTGAATGAGCGCAAATTATCTGGAACAAAGTTGTTGTTTCTTTTTATGTGTATAAATGACTCTTTGTAACCTATTTCAAGATACCAAAAAAAGAAGCCGGAAAAAAATGCAACCAAACTGTTTTATTAGGCTGCGAGCGCCAGTTTTCAGTTCAAAACGTTTCTCTTTTTCTGATAAAATTTGCGCTCGAAAAATTACTCGAAGAATTCATTTTGGCATCAAAATTATTTTGTTCAAAGTTGTTTTCATTGAGCTTGCATATACCAAAATTTCGTGATTTTTTTGAAAGAAATTTCTTCGAAATTATGAAATGAGTCACAGGATTTTTTTAGTATTTTTGATTAGGTTTTGTTCTCAGTTTGTTTTTTGGAGATTAAGCTGAAAATCAGGAGATTTCAGAACGGCCTCTGGTTTAGTATTACAATCATGTTAATAACAATTCGGTAAAAAGTTTTGGGATGGTTCCTGAGTGACACCATTATTTTCAGAGCATTATACCCCCAGTATCATTATTTCTCATTCGTTAAAAAATAGCTCTTCTTTGATTCAAACGTTTTTGTCCAGTCAAAATCTTTAGACTTTGTTCATACCGACGACTAAAAAAATAGAAAATTCTATCGAAGCGTGAGTACAATTATTTCCGGGATGGTGCTCCAAATGATTACTTGAGAGTATAGTTTTTGCAATATTAAAATATGCGATTTTAGACAAGATTCTTAAAACTCGTGGCTTTAGCTATATGAGAGTCCTTAGTTAACTCAATTTGATGCTTGTCATTTCACCTTCAAAGGTATGAACGGACTTTCTGGCTCTCAGCGGTCCAAACAATTATTTGCAAGTCTTGATGGTTAAATGAATTTGATGAAGCTCTCAAAAAATTAGCAAACTAGTTCAAACGTAGCGGTCTCAAAAAGGTTTTTATGAACTTTGTGTCTAAAAAAGGTTATTTTGAAACACGTCGCCAAAAATAGATTCAAGGAATCAAAAAAAATATAAAAACATTTTTCACTTCTCATGAACTATCGTATATCTTTTTTAAACCAAAGAGCTGTTGGCAAGGTTGCTTCACCAAAACAACAGCTTTTCTAAATTCTTAGAAAAATTATTAAAGTATTACGACGCTTCGTTTCTAAAGTATCGGGAAATTAGTTTACTATCTTAGCGGGTTTTCTAAAGGTTATTTTAACAACCGGTAGAAAAACTTTGGTATAGCTTCTCAAAATTGTAATTTTTTATACATTCAAAACGATTGACTTAGTTTTTTTCATAATAGATTACTACCTTATAATTTTTTGAATCAAGGTGTTGGTAAGGCTTTTTAACTAAATCTAAGGTTTTTCTAAAGTTTGGACGCACAATTTTTATCCCAACTTATTATCTAATTAGTTATTGGGGCAAGAATTACTATAAGGTTTAGCGATTCTAGCGTTTTGAGAAGGCAACCAAAATGATTGGCTGAAATCTAATCCTTTTAAAATTGAATACTGGAAGATGAGGCTCTCAATTATATGCAATCAGGAAACGAAGTCACCCGAACCGCACTGACAAACTTGAGATTGTATTCGACTTGAATTGATTCTTATACAGATAATATACTGTATAGAAATTTACTTACGATGTCCTGTTTAGATACGTTGATCGATTTAGGATGGATTTAAGAGATTTCTACGGTAGAAAAAAAATATTTCAATGAATAAAAGTGGATTAAATTTGACTTTTGCAAGGTAATGGAAATCATCAAACTCTCAACGAAACTGATGAAAATTAACTATTTTTTTCGTTCGAAGCTTGAGCAAATTTTTGTACTCGAAGCTATAAAGAGCGAGTGTCATTCAAGGAGAGTTTTCTCTACCGCTTAATTTTGCATTTTGGGGATTTCCTTTACAATTGTGCACAACTATCTGTTTCAGCAAGAACGAGAAGTGAAAACATGCAATTTCATCAAAAATGTTTTATGCTCAATTCTGTTAGGCTAATGAAAAACAATTTTGAAAACAAATTAAAAAAAAGTATTTTTTTTTCAGAAAATTAAAATATAAGTAATCCTCGTGGTTAATTTTTAGGCCAATCAGTCAAACAAAAGCTCAATCTAAAATCATACTTTCAAAAAAATTTTCTCGAAACTTGGTTTTATGGGAAAGATATTAATACCTGAAAATAATCGCCATTTAACCTCTCTAAAATAAAGGAAAGAAAGTTGTTGAAAAATCAATATAAATCACTTTAAACTGATGTAAATCGATTTTACTGATCTAACACGTATAGGAAAGTGATATAAAAAATACCACAACTTAGAATTGAAATCAGCATGAATTTTTGTAAAAATTGATACACAAAAATTGTCAAAAATGAAACCAGGCAAATGTGTCAAAAAAGCTACATTTTTCTATCAAACTAAATCGCTTTTAAATAGAACCAAATCCAATTTTGCAAATCTCTGCTATTTTATCAGTGTAGTGTATCAATGAATTGTCAGTACAGCACACTGAAATGGATGATCAGTTTAGCATACTGACAATCCATTTCTTGTCAGTATGGGCAAAAAATCATTGGTGAGCAGGTTAAACCGGACCTCAAACTCTGTTGAACTTTTTAACACTTTATATTTTATTCTGACAGAAATGTTATATATTAGGCATATATTAAATTTCTGAAAAACTAAAATAAATTTTGAAAGTTTGTCCACTACACATTTAAATTTGTTTCAAAAACAATTAAATTGTTTTATCGAGACAATGCTGATTCAGTTCCAAATGCGGGAGTGTAGTTAGGACGAATCTTCGGAACAAATCACAGCTATAATCTTTGTACGACATCTTTGACAACATGCCAAAAAGTATGCTGTTCTAACTGGCTGATTAGCAAAAAATATAATGGATACTTACCAAAATCGAATTGTGAGCATTTAGTTAGTTTAAACCCTTTAATAATCAAAAACCAATTTTTCTTACGGGAAAGGAATTTTGAAACAAAAAAAACAAAAAAATGCAGCACATTTGATTGCAGATTGCAGTGACAAATGAGAGAAGAATGATTTTCAAATCATTTTCTTTTATATACCTATTTAATCAAAAGAAACGCTCGAAAAATATTACAAGTTCGAAAAAAGACATGGACTGGAGCTTACATGATAATACAGATAGTCGCGTAATGAAGTTAAGGTAATGGAATTTAGTAAGAAAAAAGCATAACTTGTAGCGATTAGTTTTTATTCGTGACACGTAACCGAGAAGCTTCATCGAGACAAGTTTCTTTTAAGGTTGTACGACAAAAACGTTCACAATAAAAAAAATTGAAAATTGAACTCTTGCAACAAGACGGTGGAAAAACATACAAAGCTTCATAGTTGATGAATTTTCACTCTTTTGCCTTGGGGTGTTTTTCATGTGGTTAATTTATTTTTTTTAGGTATCAGACAATGTTTTAGCAACTCAACTATATTCTAAGCTTTTGAATTCGAAACAAATGCGAGAGTGTATTTAGGACGAATCTTCGGAACAAATCACAGCTATAATCTTTGTACGACATCTTTCACAACATGCCAAAAAGTATGCTGTTCTAACTGGCTGATTAGCAAAAAATATAGTGGATACTTACCAAAATCGAATTGTGAGCATTTAGTTAGTTTAAACGCTTTAATAATCAAAAACCAATTTTTCTTACGGGAAGGGAATTTTGAAACAAAAAAAAACAAAAAAATGCAGCACATTTGATTGCAGATTGCAGTGACAAATGAGAGAAGAATGATTTTCAAATTATTTTCTTTTATATACCTATTTAATCAAAAGAAACGCTCGAAAAATATTACAAGTTCGAAAAAAGACATGGACTGGAGCTTACATGATAATACAGATAGTCGCGTAATGAAGTTAAGGTAATGGATTTTAGTAAGAAAAAAGCATAACTTGTAGCGATTAGTTTTTATTCGTGACACGTAACCGAGAAGCTTCATCGAGACAAGTTTCTTTTAAGGTTGTACGACAAAAACGTTCACAATAAAAAAAATTGAAAAATGAACTCTTACAACAAGACGGTGGAAAAACATACAAAGCTTCATAGTTGATGAATTTTCACTCTTTTGCTTTGGGGTGTTTTTCACGTGGTTAATTTATTTTTTTTTGATATCAGACAATGTTTTAGCAACTCAACTATATTCTAAGCTTTTGAATTCGAAACAAATTGATTTTAAGAACAGCGGATTGGCCTGGAACCAACAACATTTCAATGATCTCATTCGTTTTTGGACTCCAAGCTAGACTCTAAGGCTTCAACTGGATTGAAAGGCTTCCCGATGTTTTCGGAGTCATATTACATTTTTCGAGTGATGACATAACTAACCTAACAGACTTCAATGAAGTATTTTGCTTTTAGATCAAAGTACAGTATGCTGATCCATCTATGCTTTAGGGATAAATTTAGTTAACACCCACTTAAACATGCCCAAACATAGAAATCTTTTGCTCAAAAACTTTATTGATCAAAACAGCTAATTCTGCTTGTAAAACAGTTTGTTTAAAGCTTTCAAAGAACCGACTTGATCATCAAATCTGTTCAATATCAAAAACCTTGGAAAAACATACAAATGAACATATGCCCAAACATAGAAATCTTTTGCTCAATAACTTTATTGATTAAAACAGCTAATTCTGTTTGTAAAAAAATTTGTTTTAATTTTTCAAAAGATCCGATTTCATCATCAAATCTTTAAAAGCGTGCTTGCGAAAATGAAAAATTTACTCTGAAGCGCAGGAAATTAAGAAAATTTATCATCTGGCTTGAGAAAATTTATTAGGAGACATCAACAGAAAGAAAAACAAACTGTCGAGTGGGATCGCGGTCGTGCTGTCT